CCTGGGAGATCTGGGGCACTTCTCTCATGCCCATCATATCCTGATATACTATGCAAACACAACTGCAGAGGGACAGAGTCACCAATTCCTCAAACCCTTGTAGTGGCAGAGTTGTACTCTAACCTTTGAACTCTATCAAACATTCTATAATGTTTGATAGAGTCCAGCAGGCCAAGAAGACAGGCACCTTAGAGTGTGGGGCTGCGCAAGTAAGCTTCAAACTACCATAATAGTGTGCAGGGCAGTCATCGGCAAGAGAAATTGAAGTTGAACACATGATCATCATCCACTGTTTCATCCTTTGACTGTACATGATATCGAAGATTATCCACGTTGGTAGACGCTCTAGGGATGGCACGGGTCAAATTACACCAGTACATAAAGTCCAAAACCCGGAGAGAATAGCTACATAGCTTGCTGGGCCTTCAAAACACACTAGCAATTTTGTAGCTTGGTAGTAAGCTGTCTATTCTACACATATGGAGGGCATAGTGATGCTGTGTACTTGCTACTATGAGCATGACCAAGTTTGCAAGGGCCCTAACAGGGCTACTTCTGCAGAATTGTTTCACTTTTTGCACTTTCTACTTTCTACATCTCATGCCTTCAGTTACTACAATTGGGTCTCCATGGAAGCCATCAACCTTTACCCTCAATCCATTAAACTGGTCCACTATAATGGTACCTAAAACATCTGCAGTCTATATACTACAATGCACTCCCCATTGGGATACTATAAACTTTCATTACACATCTGCCTTCCACTCTACTCTTAACTCCATTTGCACTATCTATACATCACTTACCCTTTACTCTAGAATGGAATGCAGTCTCTTTGGAGGTCATTCCCTGATTGTTTTTACAGTGCTCATCTGTTGTTCGAATCCACATGCATTTAGAGGATGCGAGGAATTGTTAACGAGCAAGCGGGAGCAGCTTAATATTTCGCGCATGTTTTGCGCATATTTAGAATCGCAGTCCCCGACGTACAGGTAGTTATAAACACCATAGAAAATTCCCACATTGAAATGACTAGGTAGGATTGCTTCGTTTGCCAATTATCTATGTGAATAGAACTGCCTATGTTTGCTAACCAATAACAAATGTTGTGTTCCTCATCTGTGCGCACGCTGGAAGAATGGTGGCGCGATTTTCCAGGCAAATAGAATAATAGTATATCAGCAATCGACAAGAGTAATATCATTATGTCTTCTTTTATCATCCTAACCAGAGATCTAAAAACTACATCTACAATTCTACGAGGGCGCAGCTACAGAGTTCTATAGCCAAATAAACGACTTTGCGTCGCGTCATGTTTAAACAGGAACACGCCAGTTACCAATCTATAGCGACTATATCTATAGTGTCATATATCCGAGAAAGCGATGGATTGATGTTGCACGTAAGCCGCGACCACTCCAATTAAACCTCATTTGCAATAAAGAAACCTCTTGTTATCTCGTTAAACTTGCTCTCTTCTAGTTCTGCAAATTTGCATTTCGAAATTGAAGAGATGGACTCGTTCTAAGTCTCCATAATCATCCTCGTCGGTATAGCATTCAATTCCTGTATAGTCATTCCCGCGCCGACACTGGCTGTACGACAATTGCGCCCTTGACTGCTGAGAGAAAGGGTGTTACAAAGTGCCACTCCCTCCCCAGTGCGTCGGTTGGGAGAGGAGAAGCAAGGGCGGGCACGAAACGGGAGTTTCACCATGGTGCGAGTAACATCATAGGACATTGTGCCCAACGAGTTGACTTCGCTGTTTGTCGTTAGTCGACTCCCAATCGAAATTGAGGACGAATACCCTAATGACATTCCCTATTGCAAGTACTTTCCGGGCACATGTTTATGGGATGCGAGTCAGTACACAGTAGAACTGTGGTGGGTCGAGAGAGCTTTTCGCTTTACTTATGTATCAATCTACACTATGGACCGCTTGGTCGCGATGTAGTTAGCAGTCGTCAATCTTAGTATCACTTCTACTATCATGGTCATAGACGATCAGGTTAGCAAGATTCTTACCGGGCAGTGTTGCGTTCTAAAAACACACCCAAATCATCCATTTGCCCTGTCCCACAGCGTGGGTCTTCTCTTTTTGCAGGATCTCACCTGTTGGGCTGTACAAAATGTAATTCGTACTCACTACACCGACTCCTCTTAACTATCCTATCTGTTTCTACCTGTGCCGTATAGGCCTCTCTAGAAAGTCGAATTACTTCACAATACTCCTCAAAGCAAATTTCTAAACGTAGTAATCTCCGTGGTCAAACGTCCCATCACAGCAATTTTTAATTGTGTTTCAGAACAAAACTATGTTCAAAGTCCTTGGGCAGTACGCCGCCCATAATGGAGCTCTTGATCTCAACAGTGTTCTTCCGTAGTCAAAGCCTTCATTGGTCTACACTAAGCCCCTGCGCACATGCACGCCGATCTGTATATATTATCAGAGTTGAGAAGCTGACAAAGTATATGAGCATTCGCACACTTGGGAACAGAATTCCATCTCCACCACTTTCAACGACACTGTCAATTGGTCCCGACACCTCATTCGAATCGCATGCGATATGTAACCCTGCATGGGCTATATCTGCTCCAGTGAGGTTAAAAGTGCAGTCAGACTGTCCGATGACGACATTATATAGGTTTCGCAGACTCAGATATGAGAGCTTGTCACACTTGTAAATACTCACTGAAACGGAGCTTGATAGACGCTGTTAATGTGTGAAGCAAGTGATTTCCCATTTCATTGCGAGATTTCGTTTTTTGTTGCTCAGAATGATAATCAAAGCTAACTGTGGAATCGTGGAACATTCTTTTTAAACGTTCTCCCAACAGAGCGCATGTATCAGAGAATCACGATGTTCGTGAAATCCCAAGGAGGATCGAAGAGCTGAGGCAGGAGTGTAGGGACCGAGCTAAACTACACTTTTACATATTAAAACGAAAAACGGTGGTGCGAAAACAGCAAAACTAAACAGATCCTCAAAAGCACATGAAGAAAAGAAGAAATGATTCATGTGACCATTGAAATGTTACACACAATTACACAATTCATAATCCTTTTACCATGAAATTGTACAATTTTAGATATGTATTACTTCCTTTCCCCATGCCCATAGTTCGACTTGCGTGTGTTCATAGCCATTTGTCCTGGCTACATACTGAGTCGTATACTGTGCCATAGCACAGTGGTTTGAAGTGTGCCTTTGTGTTGTGTTATGTTGTGTAGATTCCAACCCCTACCAGCTGAGTTGCCCTGGTGGCTCAGTTGGTAGAGCGCTCACCTAGACTGTAGAGTGTCGTGGGTTCGAATCCCACCCAGGGCAACTCTTCTTCTTTTCTGTGTGTAGTTGACTTGTTTGCCTTGCCTTGCCTTTACCTTGATACCAAGTTGTGGCTAAGGTATATACATACATGTAGCTAGCTAGGATAATAATTCGAAACCAACTGGACATCTGCTACACCTTTGGCTCACTCAGCTAAATGGACAGATGATAGAGATAACGAAAACATAGCCATAAGGCAGGACTCCCAGTTTCTTTGATAGCAGCCATTCATTACTGTAATGGCACTGTATACACAGTGCATTCCACTTCAATCTCAACCCTAAGGGTTTAATTAATAGAGCTTGCACAGGTAAGTTTTGATAGGCAATCTTAGGGTAAGGTTGGGAATATGGACTGTGTATACAGTAGTGGTTGAAAGGCCATTACAGTAATGCTATACACCTGGAAGCTAAAGTCATTTTTCACATCTATCAGAAATGGGCTTGATAGCAGCCATTACTGTAATGGCCTTTCAACCACTACTGTATACACAGTCCATTCTCAACCTTACCCTAAGATTGCCTATCAAAACTTACCTGTGCAAGCTCCCTTTTAACCTCTACTCTTAAGTCCATACTTGCACTTCAATTACCAGAATGGATGGAATGCAGTCTCTTTTGAGAGGTCATTCCCTGACCCTTGAAAAGTTTTTTTACAGTGCTCATCTGTTCTGAACCCTCCTGCAGTTAGACACCGGCAATGACTTACTCTCTGACCTTTTCCATCCGAACATTCATTACATCAATGCACCAAGTGTTACAGCAGAGAGGCCTTGCAGCATGCAGCAGCAGTTGCATATTCTATAGAGTTCAATACAATGTGATGAGGAATCCAGCAGGCCTAGAAGACATGCACCTTTTTCTCATGGCTGTATTACATAGGGTTGGGCTGACATAGTGTGGAGGGCAGTCACCAGCAAGGGATTGAAGTACACAAAATATATATGAACACAATCATCAACTGTTTCGTCCCTTTTTTTTTATATACCGTACATGGTATCGAGAAAGATGATCCACACTTGATAGTAAGCTATCTATGCTGTATATATGGAGGGCATAATACGTAATAGTGATACATACACAATGTCATGCATGACCCAGGTTTGGAGGCCGGGCTACTTCTGCAGTTATCAGTAAATTGTTTCACACTTTTATCCTTTTTACACTTTCTACATCTCATGCATGCCTTCAATTAGTACAATTGGAATTTATACTGCCATCAACCTTTACCCTTAATCCATTTACACTTTCTACACATCATTAAACTGGTCCACTATAATGGTACCCAAAACATCTGCAGCCTACTATATAAGATGCACTCTCGGTTGTGATACTATAAACTTTCATTACACATCCACCACAGATTGGAAGGCCTATCATCAATTCTTAATGTATGGCCATCCACATCCATTAACCTTTACTCTTAACTCCATTTGCACTATCTATACATCAATTACCCTTTACTCTAGAATGGAATGCAGTCTCTTTGGAGGTCATTCCCTGATTGTTTTTACAGTGCTCGTCTGTTATTCTAAATCCCCACTGACAATGTAAAATGACCCTACTCTTTCCACTGCAATGACCTTTCCATCTGAACTTTCATTACATCAATGCACCAAGTTATTACAGCACTCTCATCTTGTACATAACAGCCACCCACATAACTTTCAGCTTGAAGGTCTCCTAGCATATAAAAGCGCTAGAAGCAAGGCACTTTCCACAACATCACCAAACACTTTCCAAACTGGTGTAAGCAAAGTTGGTGATGCGCTGCCTCACAGTTCTAGTCATTTTAGCTCTTTATGGGCTCACTGCCGTGTCTGGCTCGGCATTTGGCCCGTTGCCATGTGACAGTTTTCTCCGTCGCTTGCCTGCTTTCTCCCACCTCTTCACTCACTGTGACTGTCTCCGCAGTGAGTGGAGTGACTGGTTGGCCATCAACCGCACAGCTGTGCCCGATTTCCAGTGCCCGTCCGAGAGTGCTCTCACTTACCAACGAAGACAGCGGCGCATCAGTGGGGAGTGTCAAGATATTGTTGAAAACAAAACAATCTGTAAGTACAATGGAATGTGAAATAACTCAGTTTTATTGTGAAAACTCACTCATTCAGGTGAACCAGACCTCGCTGATCGCATCATCTTGTCTCTTGGGCTGGGCAGCAGTAGACCCCCCGATCTGCTAATTAGTTTACCGCCTTTGACTATTGTCAATCTGAATCAGACAAGACCCTCACGAGACACTGAACAAGTTTGTATCCCAATGACTGTACCACACGGTATGTTAAAGTTCATCTATACATGATAGTCTCAAGTAAAAGTTCCGTTTCTTATTTTCAAAAACCTAAAAAAAAAACAAGGTACACTCAGCAAATGTACAATTTAGCAAGTAAACTTCGGAAATCGGGTTCACAAATTTTGAGGCTGTGTAATACTATCCATACTAAAGGGGCGGCAAATTTGTGTACCCTGAAAATTTAGGGTGACAAATTTGTGAACCATGTTGGTAATAATATAAAGTGCCCATCAATTGAAAGGTTCACAAATTTATCATCCACTTGCTCCAATTTTGAATATAAGTCTGCTAAAAGTGCTAATCACGCAAATTCTGGAAATTGGAAACGGAACTTTTACTTAATATTAAAGTTCATTACTCCACTGTCCAGGACGCCGCTCTGTAAGAGAGGAGTTAAAAAGTCCACGACTCAACAAACGGCTATCATCCTCCCAAACCTCTATCAGTGGATCGAACACTGTTCAACCTTTAAAGGATGCAATACCTTTTAACCTCATGGAGCATGGGTCACGCTTCAGACGACAAAGCTGTGGAAGTGAAATTCAGCACATTCTCTTCGTCCTCGATACATCAGGGAGCGTTGGACAAGCAAACTTCCAGACGGTCACACACGTACTTGCAGACTTGACAAGTTTGTTCTGCAACACAATAAAAATTGCTGTGATGACGTTTGACCACGAATACTACGTAGAATTTTGCTTTGATGATTATGGAAGTAATCGACTTCTAGAAGCCGCTAATGACATAAGATCTATCCCATACATTCGTGAAGGACAGCCCCCAGGAACAAGATGGACGCACACTGCAGGTGCTGCACAGTGTGCCTGTGAGTATATGCTCAACCCCACACATGATTGTCTGAACGACTTTGCCCCTGAATGCGTGAATGTCATATTTGTCACTGATGGACGGGCAAACGATCCGAACCTTGATGTCTGCACTGAAATCCGCTGCCTCCACCGACGCAGGGGAGTCAATACATTTGCCATTGGGATTGGAAACCGGGATGACCTACAGCTTGAATGCATGCGAGAGGATGATTTGGAGCTTGACGAGTACCATCTCTTCAATTTCGAAACATTTGCAGAACTAGAGGAGCAGTTTAACGAGATAACAAGGAGGTTTCTTGCAAATGATGGTTATGTGTGTGCAGACGTAGCAACTAATCCAGTCGGATGAAGTCAATGAACCAACCCTTAAAGAACAATTTGCTGACTCTGTAACATGAGAGCAAATTATTTATTGCTGACTCTGTAGCTGAGATCGTAGAATTAGTGATGTAGTTATTTCTGGCTCTGTATAGGATGATAACAGAGACATAATGATTTACTTTCTATTGCTGAATATATATTCTATTGCTGAAATCGCGACACCATTCTTCCAGCGCACCATTGCTGCAGTGAACATCAATGAGAATGTGCACTTGGCTCGGATTGATACTTGACGGCATCGCTGACACTCTGCTTATACTACCAAGGCAGTGGAGACCGGTTGTACCCAAGCAACCATCGCAGTCCGCTGGACGCATTGTTATGCGGAGAGGAAATACGTCCATGGCCGATTCATTTGAAGATCAACTGAGGTCCGAGTTAGCTGGTATCCAGGGGGAAATCGATCGGCTCGGAAACAACCGGCGCCTGATCCAGGAACTACTCACCGGTGAATCTGGTAGCTCCGTGTCGGCAGCGACCGAGGAGCCGAAGGCGACTCAACGTCGTGCTGCCCGTCGGACCGCTACCCCGGCCAAGCGCACACGTCGGCCGCGGGGATTGATTACGTGCAAAGTGCGCGAATTCCTCGGCGAGCAGACCGAGCCCGTACACGCGACTGAGATCCTGGCGTTCCTTGAGAAGAACGACGCCGCCCCGCAATCGGCCAAGCCCATGCCGACGCTGCAGTCGACACTCCAGCGGATGAAGGAGATGGGCGAGATTGAAAACAGCGGCCGGAATCGATGGGCCTTGCTGTCCGCTAGCAGCGAGTCCGCACCTTCCGCCCCGGCGCTGGCTCCAGCGCCGACTCCGGTGCCGGCTCCGACTCCGCGAACTGACGGTCCCCGTATGGGTCCACTTCCCGAACGACGTTCGGCAGCCGTCCGCTCAGCACCTAGCGAGCGGATAGCATACGTTTGACCGCAGCCGCTGCAGAGCGCAGCGGCAGACAGACGTGGCACGTTCAATCGCGTGCCGGAGAGGTTGACGCCATGTTGTTCGAACTTCGCCAGTACACCATCAATGAGGGACGGCGCGAAGAGTTCGTTCGTCTGATGGAAGAACAGATCATTCCCTTCCAGGTCGCACAGGGCATGACCATCCTGGGTTCCTTCATCTCCGAAGAAGACGAGAACACCTACGTGTGGATTCGCCGTTTCCACTCGGAAGAAGAACGTGAACGACTCTATGAGTCGGTCTACGGCTCCGACCATTGGAAGAACGAAATCGCGCCACACGTCGGCGAGATGATGAGCCGCGACAGTATCTCGGTGAAGCGCCTTGAGGCGACTCCACGCTCACCAATTCAGTAGCCGGTTCAATCCAATCACCGTCCACCCTGGACCAGATACCAACACGTTCCGAAATAGGCGCCGTGACGTCTGATTCCCCGAGCGGAGCGTTGTTCACACGTGACGGCGCCTACTTCGTGCCGACCGATCGTGCGCGCGGACCGTGGTCGCCGGGCGCGCTGCACGGCAGTCCGGTTGCTGCGTTGATCGCTTTCTGCGTTGAGCAGCGGCTTCGAGAGTCGCACGAGCAACAGTCCAACGCAGGTGGCGAGCTGCGCATCGCGCGGCAGACGGTTGATCTGTTCCGGCCCGTCCCATTCGGTCAGCTATCCGTAAATGTTGAACTGATCCGCGAGGGCCGGCGCATCGCCGTGTTTCAGACGCAGGTCAGCATTGCAGGGAAGCTGCTGACCCAGGCGACAACGCTGTGCTTGCGATCCGATGCGCAGCTTGGCTCCGTGGGGGTCAGCCACACGTTCGAGCCACCTGCAGGACCCTGGCATGCCGTGCCAAACAAGGTTGACCGGGTTGGGAACGGCTGGGTGTCATATCCGGGCACGCTCGAAATGCGCCATATCGTCGCCCCAGGCGGCGAGGAAGCGCCTGTCGTCTGGATTCGCGCCGATGCGCCAGTGCTCGAAGAGGTCCCACTCTCGCCGACTGTCCGTGCCGCCAGCATCGCCGACTTCGTCTCACCGTTCGCGAACATGCAGCCGGGAAGAAGCGGCTATGTCAACGCCGACATCACGTTGCATCTGCATCGCCAGCCACGGGGTGACTGGAACTACCTACGCATCGTGTCGCGCGGCGCGGCCGACGGCGTGGCCACGGCCCAGGCGGTGCTCGGCGACGAATCGGGCGCGTATGGGGGATGCTCTGCCGCGAGCCTGATCAATCCGTAGCAGAGGCCGCCTGTGCCACTGAATTCGTAGCACTTGACTGCCAAGGTCGTTAATCTCTATCCATGGCTGGCCGCATCGTTGGTATGATCTCCGTCTTGACGCTTGTCGGCGTGATCGCATCCGCTGTCATATGCGAGAGGCGATACACGCCCTGCGTTGCATCTTCTGGTGCCTCTGAGGTCGCAGAGCATGCGGATCGATCAGACCGCGGTAAGCCATCCCGTCTGTTGGGTATTTGCATATTGGCTTTTTCGTGCTCTAGCTTTGCAACGGAGCATTTTCAGAGAAAACCGCCTTTATTTTCTGACCTTCGTCGCCCGTTGGGTAGATGGTATCGTTTCTGGGACGAACAGATGTTCGAGAAGTGAGATGTAGAGTAACACACACACACACACAGACTCTAACCCTCGCTGCGCATGCGCGCCGAGGGTTAATAACATTGGCACTAAATCACAATCTTCAGTGTATATACAGCTAGAGAAATTCAGCCAATAACACAAAATACATACATACATGGCAGTTATGTGGCACAGCAGGAAGTCTTTCCCCCTAGCCCTAGAATTGATATGGCATTATTAGGGTAATAGCAAAAAAGCGGAGGCCACACATTGGAAAAGCAGTGCTGTGTACTGTACAGTCTAGAGGGTCAGGACTGATCCCGATCACACAAACATTTCTCCCTTTAAATTTCATACTGTCGCTACATTTTAAGCTTTTTCGTCTACTTTGCAGTTGGTTAATAAATTACAGCATTAAGAGGTTGAGTCTACTGCAAAGTGCAACAAACCTTCTGTCCCTCCTCCACTGAGACCTGTCTATATATCGTCCTCCAGGTCAATCTTGTGGGCGACCAGAGCTATCTTGATGAGAGGAGAGCCGTGCTCTCTGATACTGTCCATCCAACGGTGTAAAATTTTTCTCTCTGATTGAAACTGAGAAGTTTTTTGAATACTGTTTCCTCAGACGAAGAACAGTTCTTCCAATGCTGCATGCGTATACTTCAATTCTCCATGGCTCCATGGAGCACAGATAAGTTTTGATAGGCAATCTTAGGGTAAGGTTGAGAATGCAACAAATGGACTGTGTATACAGTAGTGGTTGAAAGGTCATTACAGTAAATCAGAGAGACTTGGAACCATGGGGTAGCTGTAGTAGGTAAAAGAGCTAGTGAGTTTTCTTATACTTAGCATGCCTGGAAGATAAAACTACAAACATTTTTTCACACATCTATCAGAAATGGGCTTGTAGCAGGCCATTACTGTAATGCCACTACTGTATAAACAGTCCATTCTCATAAGATTGCCTATCAAAACATTTTTGTGTAAAAACCCTTTTACATCAATGCACCAAATTTTACAGCAGAGAGGCCTTGCAGCAGAGTTCAATACAATGTGATAAGGAATCCAGAAGACATGCAACCAAGGTTTCATTAGTGGGAGGGTCAGTCACCAGCAAGGG